AGGATGGGATACCCATTCATCTGCCTTGGGTCATCAGACCCAATGAATCCCCTCTCTGAGACAAGCACCCAACTGCTGTTGGGGAGAGGGGCGATGACTCATCTAGCTGCTTCGTGCTGACAATGGGGTGATGGGAGGATAGGGGAGGGGGTACTGGTCTCAGGGGTTGACCTGTGCAGTCTCCAGGGGCCCCTGATAGAATGGGATGGAGGGCTCATGCGTAGGAAGAGGTATTTCTTGACCAAGAACTGGAGTTTGATCCCTTGGACATGTTGAGATAAGAATCTGGTGAGAGCATTTATTATACAAGGGCCAAATAGGAGTATTAGCAGGATCATAAAAAAAGGTCTGGCAAGGGCTGCATATCTAGGGATCAAGATTCTGTAAAATCCTGTAACTCCCAAGAAAGCTCTAAGCTGCTTTATGGTATGGGGGAGTGGCAAATGAAGGATTGGGTGAATTTGCTTATAACTCGGAGAGTAAGCCTGTCCCTTTAAGACCACACCAAGGTAGGTGACCTGTGGGAGGCATAGTTGAGCTTTTTTTTTTTTTTTTTTAGAGACTCTGTATCTCCAGGAGACCAGACAGTTTAAAAGGGACTCAGTTGCCCTGCAGATGAGGGGCTCTATGGCTGTGCATAGAAGAAAGTCATCAACATATTGAAAAAAGGTGGCCTCTGGGTAGTGCCAACCTAATAAGTCTCTGGTTAGGGCCTGTCCACAAAGATGAGGGCTGTCACTTTCATAAGAATTTTAAATTTAAATAAAATTGTTTTTCCAATTAGTCTTATTTTTATTATATAGACCCATACAGAAAGGCAACTTTAAACTGTTTTTATACAATAAGTAACCTATAAAGACACCAGTTGTTAATAGATATAATAAAAAATATAATATTTATATTATATATTTATAATATAAATATAATAGATATAATAAAGAAATTGAATGTAAATTATTTATAATGAAATGAAACAGACTAAAGTTACTGTCCATAAAATAATGCCTATAATTTAGTTAGACCTGATTGACATAACCTTTAAAAAACTGATTTTTCTTAAAAGTAGCAGCAGAAAAGGTGGGGGAGAGAAAAGAACAGAAGCCTTGTATTTTTTACATTAATTTTATAATAAGAACCATCCTAAAAATGTTTAAATATATGCATACATAAAAAAATGTTGGTAGGCATGCTATAAATGTCAATTTAAGCATGCACAGATTCAAGAGCTCAAGAACATGTAAAAATTAACTTAAGTGGCCACAAGTACATTGATGAGTTATTTTTTGAAACTTTCAGGAGTAGATTGAGAAGTGTCCCATTCTGTTTTTTTAGGATCATTTTGGGAGGATTGATAGCTGAAGTAAGAGTCAATAGTGTTTTGAATCAGTCCCAGTTTTTAATAAGACTGCTATCATAACTATTAGATTTTTTTTCTCTAATAAATTAATCACATCATAGACATACACAAAACTTACACAATGAAACACAAAACAATTATAACAATTTTGAGTGCACTCTAAGCTGACTTTAAGATACTTTATAACCTCTATTACACAACACTGAACATAAAATTTCTGTAAAGAGCCTGCTCCTTACTTACTTGTTGGCCCATTTCTCTCTTGATGTTGTTCCATACCCTTGAATTGAAACTAAAATTATGTTTGCATGCACCTCCAGAGCCTTCCTTACCTTAAGCCTCTGTTCGGGTCCCTGTTTGGTGGCACCACCTGCAGGGATCACAGAGGTCCTTAACCCGAAAGGGCTCAGGGCAAGAATGAACAAGACAAGACATATATCGAGAGGGTCAGAAGGCTGATGACCAGCTGGCACAATTTTATTTTTTTCAGCCAGCTTTATATAAAAGAGGAAGAGACTTAAACATCAAAAGCACTCTGACCTAGTTACAACCTTTCTGTTTTGGCCACCCTGCATTCTTACTGCCAGTGTCCTTGACTAAGTATAAACTTCTTTTTAGTCAAGGGAAACCACTTAGCGTTCCTTCCCACCGTGATAGAGACAGGGTGCACCTGCAGATTCCAACCTTGTCAGAATGCTGCTAAGACACAGCGACCTTGTCAGACTGTGGCTTTTGGTTCCCAACAATTTGATACTAATAAGAGTTAGAAGTACAGAAGTGTGTGGACACTGGGCTTTCTTTACATCACAGCCAATTAAAGCTTATCTGTATAATAAGATAATTCCCACTTGCTGTGCATAGCTCACTAAGTGGGTGTGAATTGTGAGTTGAGTGCTGGGCAGCCCAGGCCTGCCTGCTATTGCAATTAGAGATCCCAAGAGATCTTGGGACCTGTGGTTTTGTGATTACTTTTTTTTTTTTGATTTTGCCTGCAGATTTATATTGAAAGCCTGGAGAATGCATATCACCATCTATTCTGTAAGAATAATGCTATGAGTAGTTCAGAAATAGTGACAATGGTTTCATCAGTAGCCAAAATGCTGATGTTAGTGAAATTTACAATGCTGTATATAAATCACATTTAAAATAAGAATCATTTTAATCATTTTAGATATTTCTAATTTAATAATAAAATATAGTCTATGTTTGTATCTGTGCTTATCCTCTACAAAGAAGAGGTCTCTGGTGTGGTAGTGGAGAGAAGACAAGACAAAGCAATACAGTTCATGTAGAAACCACTTTCATTGCATACTGAGTTTGCCATACCCTGCATTTGACATTGGTGAGAAAGAATCTAGAATTGTACACTCGGATTTGGGCATCAGTTGTAATAGAAGGAATGAAACATTAGAATGCACCCCCAGAAGAGGGGGCCCGGGCTGTGGATCTAGAAACCACGCCACCGAGCTAAAAAGATGGAGAGAGGGGTAAGTGGAGAACACTTCATGTGAAGGTAGGAAGGGCTGTCCTATGTGAGAAGCCTTCTACGTAGCTCCAGAAGGCAAAGCTAAGATCGGTGAGTAAACGTTATAAAGAGGGTTTAACAAACAACTCTCTAACAAACATATGTCCCATTTTAACAGTGAGCGCCACATCATAGGAACTTCAATCTAGAGAACTGCTTCTATGTCCAGTGGGAAGGTGGGCTGGATAACCTTAAAGCCCTCCTCAAACACTAAAATTCTCTCAGTTTCTTGAACCTCAAATCTACTTTAGTTAATTTTAGAACTGAAATATCAATGCTGAGTCTAAATAACCAACTGTGAATGAAGAAACAAGTGACTTGACCAAGAGGTTTTTCAGTCTATAGATACCTCTGGTCTCCATCCAGGAACTGGTAACTGCTCTGTGGACATACCACACAGTGACCCAACCTCTGTTCAATTATATTTTAGAGACAAGGTAAAGAATGTTTTACTGCAAATTATACATCTTTATCTTATCCCTTGGCTGTAAACAGTACAAAAAAATTTCCCATGCCATTTCAACATCATCATGTGACACAATTTCTGCACAACCACAGGCTTAGCTCCAAAGAAGCTATCTCTATGTTACAATTTTAAGTTGAACTTCCCAATGTCTAGCTCATTTAAAGGGACTCAACACTCCACATACCATGTGATAATCTTATAAAATGCTGCCCAGTGAGATCCAGAAGGCAACCAGTAAAACTTTCTTGCCCACATTTCAAAGAATTGAAATTCCTCTTTCAAGATTTAAATTTTCAGAAAAACAACTATAGAAGTAACTGTGACTGATTTTTAATTGCCTCTATCTTCATGGATCTGAGATTATATGCATTCTGCATAGATGGGACTTGAGGTCTCAAAACTGACTCAGGCACCCAAGTAAAAGAAACTGAGTGCTACTTATCATCTACCAGGCACTTCAGATACCAAGGGCTCATCTTCTCTCAGCTCAATTATTCCTTCCCAAAGGAGTCAATATTATTAACCATCCCAGGCAAATGGGTGAGTTTAAATAATCTGAGCACTGAGGAAAAATAAGGTGCCAGAGCTGAGAGTAAAGCTGCCTAAGTCCAGAGCCCACACACTGTCTTACCAGCGTCCAGCTCAGTGATACTAAACTCCCATGTTTCAATGGCAGCCTGAAGCAGACCCGTCCCAATGGGTACAGGGAGCCTGTGTCACTTGCACAGAGATCATGGGTAGACAAGGAAGGCAAGACTGTGACAACCTACTTTATTGGTAACTAGTTGTAAAAATAAATCAAAAGAGAGCTGTCCCTCCCCAGTCAATAGAGGCTAACCATTCTATTAAACTTTCACTTTACAGATATTTCTGAAAGCAATGTATTCTGACTAAGCTCTACTAGGAAAACTACTCAGTAGGACTCTTGGCTGTTTTGGACATAAGCCAACAGCAAAGAAATTCTCTTGAAATATAATGTAAAAGTGAAAAATACTGAAAATTCTTGGTAAAATCAGCAAATATCAACTTGTAGGTGAAATGCCAAACACAAGTTTATATCACCTAAAATTCAAAATTCCAGAGTAGCTTGAATTCATACTTGAACTGTCCAGTCATAAGCCCTCATGAATTCACAGGAAGATAGGAAAGAAAGGGAAGAACCCTTCAAAGGTTACTCTCTGTCATCAACTATCAAGTGGAGTGTGGCACACTTCTGAGAGTTGGCACAGAAGCACAGGGATGGTCACAAGACAGCAGCCACTTGGAGTTAGAGGCCCAGGCATGAGGCCCAGCATGGCCCTCCGTCAGCACACCCACAACTGCCCACTGTCTCAGTGTCATGCCATGCCAGCCAAAGGGGATCATGAAGAGGGGTACATGCATTAGGTGGCTTTTCCTCCTGTTCCCCCAATTTCTCCACCACATAATCTCTATTCTCATCCTGAAGAGCTATCCCTGGTCTGTGAGGAGAACAGCGGGGAAGGAGAAATAAAAGGAACAAGAAATAAGTTTGGAATCATATAGCACATCCAAGAATGTAATCCCAAAAGGACACACATGTCTATGCTTGACAAAGAGGTCCAGACATAGACCTGACTGTCAGATGTCAGAGGCTTCTTGGCAAGAGTTAGAAAGGCACAACCAATGCTTACCTGTCCGCTGAAGGCCTCTTTCTTGACTGAGCTCTGAGCCTGAGAGGGACCCTGGGCAGGTGACAGCCTTGAGGGGCTCTTCTTACTCTGAGGCAGCAGTGAGGACAGGAAGCCCACTCGAGGTGACTGGGAGAGCGAGGCAGTCCTCTGGCTGCACACCATGGCTCTGATCAAGCAGAAACACCATAATGTCATGGGGATGGAGGAGGGTAAGGAAGACCCTACAGCTAGGTCCTGGGTTTAGTTACAGGGGCCTTAGCTAGGTTCTGCAGCCTGAGCTTGAGGGTAGCATTAACCTTAATAACATTTCCTGCACAAAGGGGGCTGTCAGCTTTCCTGGCCCAACAGTGAAGTCTGTGCCTCTTCTTTGAGGACACCAGTAAAGCTCAGAGCTGCCTTGTCTGGTGGCTACTGGCTACACATGCTACTGAGGACACGAATGTGGTTACTCTAATTCGAGATGTGCAAGAAGTGTGAAACACAGGAATTCAAAAATTTAGCCTGAAAACAGTGTAAAATACCTCACCATGTTTTGTTTATATTCACTCATATGTTGAAGTAATTTGTATATATTGGGCTACATAAAATATATCACTAAAATGAATCTTGCTTGGTTTTTTTTTGTTTTTTTTTTAACATCACTTCTAAAACTTTCTTAAAATTTTAAAGCCCTTGTTAATCTTTAAATCTTTAGCTGGAAGTTTATTTTCATCAGAAGGTGCTGGTTGTGATACTAGAGGAATTTAAAAAAAAAAAAAAAAGGATTGAATCCCATCCTTGCTAGGCAAGTGCTCTACCACTTGAGCCATACCCCAGTATTTTTCTCTGTATTTTGTTTTTGAGACAAAGTCTCCCTACCTTTGCCCAGCTGGCCTCAAACTCATGATCCTCTTGCCTCTGCTTCCCAAATAGCTGAGGTCACAAATATGTACCACCGTGTCCCACTAAAACTAGAACAGTTTCACCTGGTGTAGCACTCAGCCTGGGTTTGTACCCTAACTGTCCAATCACCAGCTGTATCACCTGTCTGTGACTCTATTTCTTCAAGCAATGCTGACTGTCACTTAAATCTCTCTTTCCCAAGCTGCCTACCTCCTTAAACCATTGGTAGCATGCTTCTCTTAAAGAACACATCCCACCTGGGGTGGCCAACCCTTCCACACTGAGACAGTCCTTCCACAGCACAAAAGCAGATCCAGGCTATGCACACCTGGATGTGCAGGCCCCTAGCACAGCTGTGCAGTTGCCCCAACCTCAGGAAAAGAGCCAGAAGCACGGAGGTTAAGAAAAACTCCTAGAGGACATTAGAGGCCATAGGGACCTGATTTATAAAACTCTGAAGCAAGGGCTGGTGTGCCAAAGGGCTCTTTGGCAAATCTCCCTCAATGAACACGGAGAGCCACAGTGAGGCCAAGTCATAATGAAGCTTAGACCCCAGAAAGAGCACAGAAGACAGGAAAGGGAGCAGCCACCCACAAGCCCTGGCACACACTCACAGCTCAGAGTCCCCAAGGCGGTCCATATTGGAGACATAAGGAGGTAATTTGTGTTGGACCAAGGCCTCTTCCTCTTCAGGCTGTTGCTCTTCCTTCTTCAATCGGTGGATTTCAGCTTGCAATGCAAAAAGCTATGTAGGGATGGGGCTTAGTTAAGTCAATGACTTTACCTAAACTTCCCTCTACTGATAGAAAGTCCTAGACATATATCCAAATCCAACCTCACTGGCTCCAACTGCTCCTTATCCTCAGCCTCAAGATGCCTTGCCTGTTTCTGCTCATTGTGCATTGGAAAAATGCAAGAGTGACGACTGATACTGGACTAGAGTAAGTCAAGAAAACCAAAGACCATTAGGCATTCACTTTTTTTTTTCTTTTTATCATTTGATTTGTTTCCTTTTTACCCTTTGACTTGTATCTTCCTGAATTTGCTAAGAAAAATGGTTCCACCTTGCTTTGCTCTCTGTAATCTACAAAATTAGTCTATGGAACTCCCATGCAAACAAAAGCTTAAATAACATAGGATCTTTAACCTTTTTCCTGAAGAAAGCTACACAAGTGCACACACATCAAAATTCAAGAATCTTCAACCCCCAAACCTAAACCTTTTTCTGACAATATCATCTGAAAAGACCTCCATTTCAAGACAGGGAAATGCTCCTTAGGCAAAATGTAAAGGCAAATATGGATCCCCTGGGTCTATTGTTTTATCAAACAAGAGAAACATGTAGCTGAGTAGAAATAATTAAATTATGTTTGGGCGGTAAACAGTATATATGTGGCTATTTGTGGAAAGAAGATGGGGAAGACAAACTAGACATGGAAACAGGTGAGGGGAAAGGTGTATGACTGCACAAAGTCTTTTTTCTCCCTACAAATGTATTCCTCTTTCTATACTGCTTATGCTGCATGCATGATTTAAAACATGAGTCTCACTTTTGCTTGTCAGGGCTGGTCCAACCCCAGAGCCCCAATCCTGACATTCTGGTGACTCACTTTCATCTGAGAACAGTTCAGCTTTTCTATCTATATTTAAACCGTCTTCCACTGCCACTACCTAATTCCACACCCCAAAAGCAGAAGTGCTTCCCAAGTCCCAAGAAGTGAGCCTGGTCAGAACAAACCTTCTGACGCAGGACTTCATTTTCTTCTTGAACCTGGTTGGTCCTCTGGTACTCTGCATCAAAGTTCAGGATCAGGGGAACTGGTGCACAAAGTTAAAGAATAAGCCTGCTTGAGAACATTTAAAAGTCCTTCCCAAATCCTTGACACAGCAGAAAAAATACTTGAATGTGACATGCAAAGAACAGAGAACAGTGTCAGTGCTGTTATAAAGCAATAGTCTGCCCCTGGTTTCCAGGCCTGCTACTCCAGGTCGGCCTGATTTCCTCACACTCACAGGCCCTCAGAGAAGACAAAAATCCAAACCTATACGTTTTTCCTTGACACCAGCAGCAAAGTGCTAGTATTCAGTGGGCTTCAAAGGCAGGCTAAGCTTTAGCAAGTTAATACTGACACTAGGCTAAAAGCAACCCTGGAAGCAGGATCAGCCACTAGGTTTTCCCTCCCCAGATTGAACTCTCCCAGCAAAGATTAGTGTTCAGATTGCCTAGTTACACACTGCCCAATGACCACCCATGTTCCAGCTTAGGATACTGGTCTTTCCCAACTGCCTCACCCAGCAGCCAGGAAGAACACAGAGCAGACAGGGCCTCAGTCCTGGGGAAGTAAACCATAGCTCAAAAGTGCATGACCTAGTTTGCAGCACTGTTTTGCCCTGAAAAGATCTTGAGTGACCATTTCAATTGTCCTGGGGAACCCAGGTGGTCACACCATAACTGTTAGCCTCTTTGGAAAGCCCTCAGAAAGAAGAGGCAGCAGGAGAGAAAAGTAGACCTGGCAATTCACACTCACCCACAACACAAAAGGAAAGGACCTCCACAGAAAATGTTCCTTCCAGAGGCCAAAATGGCTGACAGGAGGTGGAACTCTATAACACCCAAATTTATCAGTGTTTCACCAGGCAGCCCCATTCAAACCAGACTCCCTTCTCCTCCCCTAGATTTCCAGTGTAGAGAGCATAAACAATGAGGCATGCTCAGGCCTCAGGATCTTAGGTTTTCTATTACAAAATGGTACACTTGGTAGGCTGTGAGTTATTTACATAATTCTCATTCACTCTCTTTTTCTCTCTCTCAAATACTCCCATTATTATTCTTAAAGCTGCTCTGTTTTCTTCCAAGTCGAGGAACACCGAGATCACTGTCCCAAATAGAAAGCCAAACACTAACTAACCCAAACATGAAGCTCCAACCCAAGAAATGTTCTCACCTGCTACCAAACCCCAGCAAGTGATAACTGCAGAGTCACAAGACTTGCACAGAGAGGGAGCTCTCAAGCCTGACTGGTTCCACCAAGAAATGACTGACTCCCAACTCCTGTGCATCTGACAAAGCCAGGAACTAGCACCCCACTGCTGCCAACATCCTCACACACACGTCAGCTATTTCTTCAGCAGCACAGCACCAGAACTGAGATATATGACCCCTGACCTCGGAACAAAAATAACTGCAGTTTGTCCAGCCCCCTCACATGACACATGTCAATGAATGATCCTCAGGCACTCTGTGAAAGAAATGGCTACATTATGAGCAGTGGCTACTGATGACTTTGTCCGGATGCCTCAGACTGTGCCCACAGCCCCAGGCAGTAGAAAGGATATGCATGCACTGAAACAGGACACTCAGGAAGTTGTGCAGGGACACAATGAAGGTGTCAGCCCACTGTCGAGAAAAGTAGGTAGCAAAGGTGGGGTTGGTGTCTGGGGATGGCAAGAAGGGCAGGGCAAACCAATCCTTCCACTCGGCCTGGTTCTGGAGCTCTGTGGCCTGCTTTGCAAAGAACTCCTGAGCTTTGTCATTTCTGTTTGTCTGCCAAGACACAAAGGAGGTAGCAAAGAAGAGGAAGAGACAGAAGTCCAGAGGTAAGATTCTTCATCACTGCACAGAAGGCAACCTCGGATATCACCTGCCAGGTAAGTGACAAAACAGGATTTATAAACTCCTCAAGATGAAGGAATTCATCACTTTTCTCTGAAGCCCAAAAGACAAATTTCATCCCAAAAACTAATCCCTAATTGATGTTCAAGTAACCTGATTTATTCTCCCAAATCACCTATCATTTTTATTACTCAAACTTTATGTTCTTTTTTTTTTTTTCTTTTGCGGTACTGGGGCTTGAACTCAGGCCTTTCACCTTGAGCCACTCCACCAGCCCTATTTTTGTGAAATGTTTTTCGAGATAGGGTCTTAACAACCTATTTACCAGGGCTGGCTTTGAACCTTGATCCTCCTGATCTCTGCCTCCTGAGTAGCTAGGATTACAGACATGAGCCACCAGCACCCAGCTCAAACTTTATATTCTTTAAAACACCACCCAGGCTTATGTGTTTAAAACACGAAATAGGAATGGAAACAAGTAAGATGATCCACAGATGATGAGAAGGAGATGAAAAAGTAGAAAACAGAAATAATTTGCACTATAGCTACTCTCTTCTTTCCCCTAGTAAGGTACAGAGTCCTCCTCCCGGTTAGAAGAAAAATCTATTTCTAGATGGATCAAAGAGCTCTCCCCACCAAGAGATGCGGAATCCCTGAATCAACAAGTACCTGGATTGTATAGACAAGATAAAAGCGGAACAGGCTGGTTTTCAGTTTGTTGATGGTTGGTCTATATATATCCTCCAAGCGGCAGAAAAGCCGACGCTCCAAGTAGCTCCAATAATCCCGAAGGCCAGCCAAGTCATACACCTGCATTAACTGCTGCAGCTGGTCGACAATCTTGTCCACCTGGTGAAAGAAAGCAGCGCTGGAGAAGGTGGTGAAGAACAGGGAATTCTCCCCTCACTCCACAGAACACGGTTTTGTCTGCTTACTGAGGTTTCTGGATGTTAGAAAAATTTTAAGTTGGTCATCTATACAAATTTTCAAAGCATATTAACGTTAACAGCTTTTCAGTTATTTTCTGATGCTAGATATGTGGCTTTACCCTCTAGCAACCACGGAAATTTCAGGTAAAAAGGCTCTGGCCCAAGAAGCAAGAGATCTGGCTCTCGGCTTGGATCTATTTGAACAACTTGGCAATGTCACTTCAACTGTCATCTCAACTGCCTTGCATTAAAAACAAAAAACAAACAAAAAAAAACCTTTAAAAAGAGGAAGTGAGTGTGAGACAATCTCCAGGGTCTTCCTCCCTGCTCCACAATTGCAGGATTCCAAGAATCACCAGGAGAGCACCGAATGAATCCTTTAAATCATCAGCGTCCCACCAGGACCCTGGTACCTGCTCAGCATCAGCCAAAACAAAATCACCTTTTTGTGAGGAACAATTACACCAGAATATACAATCTGGAAAAAGTTTTGGATGCCAATATCAATCCAACCGTCCTGCTTTAAAAATAGATCAAGGCACTGAACCCTGGAGAGGTGAGATGATTTGTTTTTGCCACCAAGTAACCACTAACCTCTGCAAGGCAAGAAAGAAGGCTTGTAACTCCCACCCAGTGCGCTTGCTGCCAGCTCACTACCTCTGTCAATCATCTGCCAACACCAATTTAATTCAGCACATACAGACATACCAAGAACCTCTCAACAGAAAATCGTATCATAGCAGGAAAAGTTTGTGTCTTAAAACATGTGGTCTTCCTTAACTGCAGAAGCAAAAATGTCAAAGAGTCCCTGTCAAGGCCATTTTTCAAAAAAAAAAAAAAAAAAACCACCATATATACTTGAACCCAGCCATCGTTTGGGGATGCAGACCCCTTTGCTCCTGCTTCTGTGGGATGCCTTTCCTTGAATATCTCTCCTTCCAGAACTCAACCACCTATCCAACTTTGGCTCTTAAAACCTCATAGCCACTGGCCAGCACCTGCTAGAAGACTAGGATGGAGAACGGAGGCCTGGACCGGGAATCGGAGCACCTGTCTCCCAGTGCTCCTGACTCGCTGAGCAACTTCAGGCAAGTCACCACCATCTCAGGGCCTCAGTTCCCCATCCGTCAAGCGAGGGTCAGAAGGTGATGTCTACGGTCCCCCACAGAGTGGTGACAGCGCCGCTCTAGCCCCGGAAGGCAGTGCAGTGTGGGGGGGAGGGGACCCGCTCCCGGGTTCCCCCGGGCCGCCGCTGCCGCACCACGCCTTCTGGTCCCTCACCCGGAACCCCTTCTCCTTGTCCGCCTTGATCTCGGCGTCGAGCTGCCGCAGAGTGTGCGTGAACCCGCGGAAGAGCAGGTACTCCCGGACCAGCTCGTCTGTGCGCTCCACCGCCTCCGCCATCGCTGCGCCAGCGGCTCCCGGGACAGCTGCAGCTAGGGGCGGAGGGGCGGGGCCTGGGCGGGACGGGGCGGAGCCTGGCGTGGGCGGCAAGTACGTTACGCCGCGCCCGGCCTACCAGCCTGCATGCCACGCCCCCTTCCTCGCCCCTCCCCGCTCCTTGCTTGCGCCCCGCCCCTCTCCGGACCCGCCCCGTCTACACGTCATCGCCACGCTCCCAGCCGAGTGCCTGAAAGAGACCGCGGGCTGCAGTTCTCCAGCAGTGCTGGAGGCGATTTTGTCATCTGAGTTACTGAAAGTGGCAGCTCGCGTCCAAGTCAAGTAGGAGTGGGCTTTTGAAAACATCCCAGATAGTCTGAGGGGTGAGGTGCCCTGGCTGTTAGCATTTTCTTGTAGAATCCTTTGTCCTCTGCAAATAGGACAAATGGGGACATGTGTGAAGTCACATAACCAGGTGTGTTAGCAGAGGGCTCTGGCCGCTCAACGCCCTGCTTACTAGTTAACGACGCAAGTAACCAAGATGCACTGCTCAGAGGAAAAAGGCAAGTTTCAGATCAGTTATGTATACTATGGTCCCAGTTTCTTGTTTGTTTAAAAAAAAAAAAACACATGTGAGTGTATGTATTTCTATAAACATTTTTGAAACTCAGGAAGATTGTTCACCAACTACTTATGTTTGTTTTCCCTGAGAGGTGAAACTACAGGGACTTTCATTTTTAAAAATTATTTGAAGTTTTTATGAGATGTCAATATTTTTTGAGTCAGAAAATTGCTAATATCTTTGAGCCTTGCTTTCATTGTCGGCAAAATGGTGACAATAATGCTGACTTTGCAAAGTCATAATGAAGATTTAGTAAGATAATGCATGAAAACACTTAACTCAGTGTCGGGCCCATTGGGACAATGAAATGAATGTTTCTTTCTCCTTCCCTCTAATCATATACCTATTTGTCAAAGTACAACTCAATCATTACTACCATTGTGCTCAGTCCCTCCAATCCTACTGTATGGAAATTCTGCTCCAAAGATGCCTCTGATCTGCACTAGAGAAACCCAAAGAGACAACAAAAAGCAAGCCACAACAAGACAAGGTGGATGCTTGTTCTGCCTCTTTGCCTGCATTCCCTGTCTCACAGACAAACAGCCATGCCCCAAAGGGCAGAAAAGGAAAGTTACCCCTGTGACTACTGGGAGAACCAGACCAAGTCCTACTTTGGGATCTCAGGTCATCAAAAGTGAACATGGGAAGACTGGACAAGTAGCAACCACCAGAACCTCTGCCTACAGGAAAGTAATGAATTAGGTTTCCCTAGGGTACTTGAAATCTGCAGCCACAACTCTCCCTTCCCCCACCTCTGTCTGCCCTGGTGCTTACCAGACCAGAGCCTGTAAAACCAGCTGAGATTTCTTTTCTGATCAATAAAATTCCTCAGAGCCCTCACACAAGCACTTTGCTCTATCTGGAATGCTTTCTCCTAGATATCAACATGAAGATATTGCAGAAAACGTTACAGACAGTATGACTGACCAGCGAGAATAAGACCCAAACCCAGGTGGTTGTAGGAAAGGAAGGTTTATTACGCTAGCAGACCACCACCTGGATATCTCCAAAATGGCGCAGGCCCTGAGCTCAGGGTGGTTGAGGTTTTTATACTGAGAAAAGCAGCAGCAAGCAAGCAGGGAATATAGAAGCAGACTTGGCAGTTAGCTGTTCAAGGTTACAATACATCATGTCAGCACAGCTGTGGACGAAGGCCATCCGCAATTTCTAAGGAGATAGCTGGATGCAAGGGCCCCAGCTAAGGGGAAGGGCTTTACTCATCTTTGATCCTTTCCCCTGGCTTTGAGCTTTCTCCGGGTTTCCTTGTCAAAGAGCTGCTTTTCCTTCTTCCAGTGTTTGCTCAAATGTCGTGTCTTAGGTTTTTCAGTCTGCTATAACAAAATGCCATAAACTTATGAACAGAAATTTACTTCTCAGAGCACTTCAAAGCACTATCAGATTCAGTGGCTTGCTGTGGTTCACAGATGATGCCTTCTAGCTGTGTGCTCACATGATCCTTGCATGTGAAATTCTCTCTGGGACCTCTTTTATAAGAACACTAATCCATTCACAAAAGTTCTGCCTTGATGATCTGATCATCTCCCAAAGGCACCACCTTCTAACCATCACATTGGGGATTAAGTTTCAATAAATGAATTTGGGGGAGACACAAACATTCAGACTGCAGCAGTCACCTCCAGGAAGCCTTCTCTGACTGTCCTATACATAATAGCATTAATCCTACTCTTAATATTTTTCTCTCTTTGTCCTCTTTTACCTTTCTACATAGCACTTACGGCTATTTGACAAAAGTCAGTATTTTACTTGTTTAACGTATTGTCTGCTCCCCTAACTAAAATATAATTTGCATAAAAGCAGAGATTTTGTCTGTATTGTTTGCTATTATATCCCCAGAGCATAAAATAGCATTTAGCACATAGTAGATGCTCAATAAAATACTCATCAAGGGCAATTTCAGTTAAGGCCCAGTCACCTTCAAGTGGGCAGCCCTATTAGAGGTCAAATAAACTCTTGGATCAGTCCTATGTGTAATCTTTGTGAACTTCCGAATGGCTCCTTGTCCAGAGCACTCGTCTCCTTCATACTGTTTTAGTCAATCTTTAAGTTTTCTGGAGACGTTTAACTGACTTGTTTATGTAAACAGATAAGGTACTAGATTCTCCAGCTTATTGATTAGCTCTGATAAGTTGGTTTGATTAATCTATCACTGCTTATGCTCTGGTGCCTATAGAAAGTGACAGTGGGGTTCATTTAAGAAGGTCCAACCAGGGGCCACAGTAGATCCATTATACACAGAAAATTGTGCACAACCTGCAAGGCAAACTACAAACCATTTTTCTAATTTTATAATCTCTCTTTGCCTTTGAGTCTTAGAGCTGAGAAGAAAGGGAAGACAAAGAGCATGGGGATAGGGGAGTATGCTCTTAATGAGTACCTACTGTGTGCCAGGTACTGTACTTGATGTCAGTGACATAATAATGATAGGCAAGACCAGGGTCCCTGTCCTCAGATAAGCTGAGGCTGGCTGGGGACACACTAAAACTCAGGCCGCAGAGCAGAGGAGAGACTGAACAGGAGCAAGGGTAGAGTCTGGTCCACGCAAGAAATGAGATTAAGTGTGTGGCAGTAAGGATGGAGAGCAAGGATTTGGGAAGTGTTGAGGAGTGGATCAATCAGATGTGGTGATTAACTAGCTGAGTTGTGTAAGGATTGGGGGTAGTCAATGAGTGGGCAGGTTCCTGGCTTGGGCATTTAGGTAGATATCAATGATATTCATGGGTAAAAAGTTCTGAGGAAGTGAGGCTGTGAGACATCCAGACACATACTTTTGAATAAAAGCTAAACTAAACAGGGCCAAACAGGCAACAGTGGGACCCAGAACATGGCCACTGTCCTCACCCCATCTGAAGGCTTCAGCTATCATGTGTACACTGATGACTCCCAAATCTTACCTCCAGCCCAGGCCTTTCCACTGAGCTCCTTCAGATAGCCCAGTGACATTTCCACTTGGATATCCTACACGTGTCTCAAACTTAACTGCATAATATCAGTTCAGATCACTTTATGAGGCTCTGAGTTCAATACAGTATTTGAGGCTTTATTCCTGGTACAGTGGACTGTAGAAGCCACCTCTTTATTCTCCTAAGTGTTGTATTGTGCCACCACCTACATCAGAATTACCTAAGGGCTTGTTAAACTACCACAGGAGACCTACCGGTTTGGCATCACTTAGAAGATACCTGGGACTTTACATTTGGAGCAAACTCCAGGGGACACTTAAAGACACATATGCTTGAGAATCACTTATTTATTGTAACAGGTGTTACAAGAGGTTGGTTGCTGACCAACAGAGCTTCCAGGCCTAAGTGATAATTTGCAGTTTAGTAATAATGATGACAAGATTTTATAGCTGTGAAATACTTTTATATACCTTATTTCACCTGAACCAAAAAGAGGTCTTTTTTAAAAACCTCATCTTAAAGATAGAAAACTGATGTTGAGGAAGGCTAAGTGATTTACTCACTTGAATTCACATTTCTGCTTCTGAGTCCACCAAAGTTCTGACAACAGCTTCACAGCAACATCGCTGAGTCAGTCTACTTGTAAGACAGCCACTTAGGTGAATGAAAACAAGTCATTGTCTGGAGCTCAGACCAAGCAAGCAAGTCTCTAGCAGCTAGGGCACTCTACCTGGAACAGGGATCAATCAGTGTAAACCTGGGTAGCCAAAGGTAACTAGCAACTCTGGAGCTATCCAAGGTCCTACAGCCTCCATCAGGGTTTCTCCTGCCCTTTTAAAACCTGATTATTCTACATCTAGTCTTTTTTTAATCACCTTATTGTCATAGGTCTACCCTCTGTCCTGACATTTCTTTTTATCAAATCCTCTGTTTGAATCTGTCCATGGCTGTTCCTTGGATTCCCGCTATCCTTGAGACCCAGTCTAGTCATCCATAGCCTTTACCCCTCCAGGAGCAGTAGGTGGAGTCCCTTCTCTCTTCCCATAGCGCAGTGCCCCATGTATGCTTAACATACTGCTTTGTAACCATCTGTTTGTCTCATCTCCTTGACTGTAAACTCCTGGGAGCACAGATTGAGGAACCTAGTGTCCCCAGTGCCCAGCACAGTCCCTTGTAAGTAGAAGATACTCAATAGCTACTTGATGAATGAATGAATGAATTCCACACTATTGTACTGCCTGCAACTTCAAGTTAAATGCCTACTACAGAGCACCCATTGCCTTAGTTTTGGGTAGCTAAATCCTTTCTTACAGCAATCAGTTTCATTAAAAATTATGAGCAACTTTCATGGATTGGTAGAATCAACATAGGAAAAATGAAAAAGAAGCAATCTACATATATAACGCAATTCCCATCAAAATCCCAATGACATTCATCACAGAGATTAAAAAATCTACCCTAAAGTTCATTTGGAAACACAA